AATTTTTAAAAGCAAAACAGAGGGCAAAACAGCCTCAGATCTCTCCAACAGCCAGCAAGGGCTTTGGTTTCATAAAGTACTTTAGTTCATGAAGAGTACTTAATAATGACAGAAAACAGACAGAAACAAACACTACTACAAAATCATAAAACAGTCCTATATATTTTCATAGCAGGCCTTCTTTCAAAAAAAATCAATGTCATAACAGTATAATGTCTTTACTAATAGCACTACTCTGAACTACCTAGAAGGATATAGAAATATTTCCCCTGCTTCTCTCTATATAATGATAGAAGAGCAAAATAGTAATATGCTCAGACACTGCTGATAGAAATCGAGAAAGGAGGGGAAGAATTTGAAAATCGCTCTTTCATTTTGTTTGAAGGCATTTGCCTTATGAAAATCAGTATTTCTCCAGAATGGAATAATTCCTATTTAAAGCTTTAGTTGACTTGGCCTGGTTATGTGAAAGAGATTCAAGCTGCTTATTGAAGGGGATTGCACAGAACCAAATCCAAACAAAGCAGAATTCCCTTCAAATTGTTCCATCCAACTTTCCTTGGTCCAGATGGCTTCAATCGCCAGCCAGAGACTCCACCCACACCTTCCCACTCCCGCTGTGCACTGGCCCTGGACACACACTAATGACCTTCAGCTGTTCTGGCTCCCAGACTCACTTTCTCTTCCTGCCCCAACTCCTATCTCCTACAGATTTCCTACAGGGAAAAGGAGAGATTTAGGAAAAGCTGTACCTTTGGGTAAACAGATTAACATTAGAGAAACCGGTTTCTTATTGCTGCTGTAACGAATTACCCCAAACATAATGGCTTGAACGAACACACACTTGTAGTTCTGTAGGTCAGAAGCCCAACATGGCTTTAGGGAGCTAAACTCATCATGTCAGCGGGCCTGCATTCCCTCTAAAGGTTCTAGGGGGAAAAGTGTTCTTTCCCTTTACCAGCTTCTGGATGCTACCAACATTCCTTGGACATGGACACCTCACCCTGAACTCTGCTTCTGTCATGACATCTCCTCCCCTGACTCTGACACCCCTACCCCCCTCCTATACGGATCACTGTGATTATACCGGCCACTCAGATAAATTTCCACAGGATAATCTTTGCATCTCAAGATCCTTGATTTAATCATGTGTGCGGAGTTCCTAATCAATACATTTACAGGTCTTAGAGATTAGGATGTGGACATTATTCTGTCTTTTCTCTAACATCAGATAGTCTCTAATACCATCTAACCTCTAATATCAGGTACTATGTACCTATCCCTATAACTATACATAAAGTCATATACACATACAAACACATACACATATACTCAATGAGATGACATAATAAATCCATTATAGCTTAGATGAAAGTCATAGAGCAATATCCATGATTATTAGATCAGGCTTATTGCAACTAGTTTCCAGTACTTCATTCTTGACAAAATATTTAATAAGAAAAAAAAAAAGCAAACTAGAGCTGATAGCCTGTGAAAAGCTTGCTCAGCACTCACCTCAATATATTGAATAACTTATACTAAATTATTATTATACAATTAATATTAATTCTATAATTTAATATAATTTAATACACTTATATATAGTTATAATTTATATATATTATCTATATTATTGAATTTATATTGTTAACATATATTAATTATATAGTAATATATTAATTATTACCATATATTAACATACATTAATATGTATCCATGTATATTAATATATTACATATACTAACATTACTAATATATTAATATAAGTACTTATGTAACTAATATTTATAATTATATAACTAATTAATATTATTATAATTCATTGTTATACTAAATTATTATTACTAATAATTTAGTAGTGCTCTCAGAGGAGCTCTGTGTCATTACGAGGTGCCAGCAGATGATATTTCAGCATGTCAAGTGTATCTGCTTCGGAGGGGGAAAGCACCACAGCTACCAGTACCCAGACAGAGTAGGGCCCAGGAAAGGGTCTCCAGGGCATCCCACCACCCAGTGTGATTAGGAAAGAGTTCACACAGGGGCTCAGGCAGCACCATTACTGGGACGCAGGAGTCACAGTGAGGAATGCCACCAAGTCACATGACACTTTAAGTTATGAAGTGAGAACAACTGGGATATAAGAAACTCCAAGGAAAATGTTGCCATGTTACAGGAGTTGAGACTAAAGGCAAAGAGGAGATGTTAGATTAAGAACCTATTTGTTTCATTCAATTCAAATGTCTGATGATACATTTTTCACCTTCTTTCCCACAAATCGCTACCAAGCTACTTCTGTACTTACCAGCTTGGCCTACAACGGCACAGAAAGATTCAAATGCCCATGCTATATACCAATGTCCTCCCACCTACCTAAGGGTTTTCTTCCTGAAAACATCCATTATCGCCCAAATCACGGATATTTTCCCCCTCTGCCTCATTTTCATCATCATAAAAACATGTTACAACATGTCTCATCTCTTAGTTTTTTTTATTTTGAGAGAGAGACACAGAGACAGAGAACACTCAGGTGCATAAGTTGGGGGAGGGGCATAGAGAGAGGGAGGGAGGGAGAATCCCACAAACTGTGACATTATGACCTGAGGAGAAACCAAGAGTCGCAGGCCTAACTAAGCCACCCAGGCACCTCTCTCCCATCTTTTAAAAAAACCCTCCTTTTATCCCACATCCTAACCATGCAACTGCTCCATTCATCTGTTCCTCATTCTACCCCTCAGAAAAAGCATCTATATTCAGTCATCATTTTACTTCACACTTTCTCTTGAACCCATTTCAATCCAGTTTTTATACCCACCTTCCCTAAACCCCATTTATCAAGGGCCCCAATACCTCCATCTAGCAAATTCAATGGACTAGGCATAGAGCTCATTTTTCAAAACTTCTTAGCAACAATGACCCAACTGAGCACTCCCTTCTCAAAATGCTTTTTTCCCCTGGCTTCTGGGGATGCCACCCCCTGCTGATTCTCCTCCTACTTCATTGGTCTTTCTTTCCCAATTTCCTTGGCTGCATCTTCCTCCCCTTTTTCCTCTAAAGACAGCCCAAGGCTCAGTCCACTGCCTTCTTGTCTTCTCTAATCTGTGATTACTCTCTAAATGATCGCATCCACTCTGGTGGCTTGATATAGATAAATCTACAAACGAAGGAGTCCCAACTGTGTATTTTCATTCCCTGAACTCACATCCCTGAACTCAAGATTCCTCTAATATCCTGGCAAGCACCATGGGCATCCTAGGAGCAACAAGGCATTCTCTCCCAGGGCTGTCCAGCTCAGTAAGCTGTTCACACAAAGATCCTCGGAGTCTTCCTCGACTCTTTCTCTCATGCCTCACACCTAATTTGACAGCAATTCTGGTCAGCTTTACATTAAAAATAAATCCAGAATATGACCACTTATCTTCCCTTTCACCACATCAACCCGTCCAAGCCAGTCTTACTTCTCCCTTAGAATCTTGAAATAACCTCCCACACATCTCCTGTTTCCACTCTTGCCCTATATAATCTACTCTCCACATAATATTCATATTTATCTTTCTAAAACATAAGCCAGGTCAAGTTACTTCGTATCTCAAAATTCCCAAATGCATTGTCATCACACTTAGAATGCATCCCAGTGTGTCAGTTGAGCAGCACCACCCCAGCCACCCAGCAGCTCCTCAGCTCTCTACAGCTTTTTGTGACCATTTTGTGACCTCTTCCAACTGCCTTCTCCAACAATCTCTCTCCAGAGAGACTCACCTGTGTACCATTTTCCCACACAAAACTGGCGTGTGAGACCCCAGCACATCACTACTTCTTCAAAAGTTGGCTATATTTTTGTATTGAATTTGTCAGCAAACCTCTCTCAGGAACGAACAAGCTCCTCTATCCTGATGGTTGGGATAGTGATAGTCTAACATTAGGCTGTGGTTCCTTCATTCCTTAAATATTACTGACTCACAATACACACCTTCCCATCCTTCATGCAAGAAGTTAATGTTTCATGATAAAGAGATATTTTGGATGACAATTATCTAACATTCAAAAGCAAATTCCTCATGTTTATTTGCTGTTATAAACATGCTGACAGCTGAGCTATCTGAAAATATTTGCCTAGAATGCTTTAAAGTGGATTTGCTTTGTTTCCTTAATTCAAAAATCTCCCTACAGTTCTCTTGAAACTTACAAGATACTATTTTTTTAGTCAATATATTCCAGTGCACGTATGTTCTAAGAAAATATCACTTTTAAAAAGATCTTCAACTTGAAAACTGCCATAGACATGAAGGAAAAAGACAAAAAGATTTCTGAACCTAGCTATGCATCAATACTCACTAGACAACTTTTTAAATGTAACAAAGATGCATGCAATTTGGGGATAATGCACCTAAAAAGTGACTGGAAAGCTGATCCTATTGACCCAACCAGGATTAATGTTCCCCTCAGCTTAACTAAACTTCAGACAGCCTTCTTCCTGACCCTAGGCTCCTGATCTCCCTCTTCTTAGAGCATTTATACTCTAGAAAATTTGTCACTTTCTCTGACCCTCTGAGTGGCAAACCTTTTCAAAATTTCTTGTCAGTTTTGCAACTAGCAACGAACGTCTTTCTCAAGGACCTAGGAGGCATCCCTTTGAAATACACTCATCAAGAAAGGGAAGTACCCGGATCTTCCAGTCTCTGAGGGAGGGTAGGACCCTAACTTTGAGAAGTGCCAATTACCAAAGACAGTTGCCCTAATCACACAGGAAAACATCTGCCAAACTCAGGATAACTCAATTCCTGCCACCCCATTGATCACCCACCTAAAGTTCTCCAGTACTTTTTCACGAGCTCAGGCCAGCACGCAAGAACCCTTCCTTTGTTTCACTGAATAAAGGTCAATCTCTCTCCCTATTACAACAGTCTTGAATAAAGTCTTCCTTGCCTGTTTAACTTTACCCAGTGCAGTTTTTACTTTGACATAATCCCAGTACTGGAGATGACTAAGCTTTCAGTACTCACAGGCTTACCATCTTGACCAGATTGTCCAGGGTAGCCGGGGTTCCCAGGCTGTCCAGGTTCACCCTAGAAAGGAAAAAAAATCCTCAGTACAAAATGACCAACCATAATGATGCAATCAGACGCCTTCAAGGTTCAAACCAATTCCATTATTTGTACCTCTCTGTATGTTAAAAAACAAAACAAAACAAAAAAAAAAACATAAGTCCCAAAATAGGGTTAGAAAAATGCCATATTTTAAACACCCACTTTACCAAATAAAGGCTTTTTATTATGCAAAATTTTCAAGGATTTATTTCTGTGAGTATATCAAGTATAACAAGTGAGATACTTTTCACTAATGTAAAATGTCAGTATTTATGGCAGGACATTTTTAGAATTCTAAACAAATTAAGTGTCATAGCTAATATGGTTTCAATAATAGCCATCTTTCATTTGTAAGTCTACAGTCTTTATTCTAAATGTTACACTACAGATATCAATGACCTATAATGTCATAATTCAATTCACAATTTTTTTTTTAAGTCCACAGGCTCTATGATCTTACACATGGGACTCAAGTTTAAAGCTGTATGACACTCATTTCTTTTATTCCAGTCAATGCGTCTCTTTAATAATGGTAAAATTTTTAAATCTGAATATTTACATGAAAGCATGGCCAAGCCAAATAAATCTGCCCAACCCCCACAGTCTTTAACACATTTAATACCTAGAAATGAAGAAATGACCTTTGCCTTCACAATCCAAGGATGTCCAAAGAACACTATTCCCTACAATATGACAATTCACCCAGGCACATTTTATGGAACTCTAGTATGTTGCCCAATGGCATTCAGATGGTCACCACCCATAAAAAAGGGAACGTTTTAGGGGCGCCTGGGTGGCGCAGTCGGTTAAGCGTCCGACTTCAGCCAGGTCACGATCTCGCGGGTTAAGCGTCCGACTTCAGCCAGGTCACGATCTCGCGGTCCGTGAGTTCGAGCCCCGCGTCAGGCTCTGGGCTGATGGCTCAGAGCCTGGAGCCTGTTTCCGATTCTGTGTCTCCCTCTCTCTCTGCCCCTCCCCCATTCATGCTCTGTCTCTCTCTGTCCCAAAAATAAATAAACGTTGAAAAAAAAAAATTTAAAAAGGGAACGTTTTTTGTGAGATAAGGGAGTTGTATAATTTAATTCTAAGAAATACTTCAAAATTAATGTATTAATCTATTACTGAGTCCATGAGATCCACATGGGGCATCTTGCTTAAAAACATATACTATCAGTAAACTCCTGCCTAGAGGTAAGACAACTGATTTCAGTTCAATTAAGAAATCATTCACACAGGACCCCAATAATTGTAAGTTAACTAAACACCAATACTAAGGGTACTTTCACAGACCCAGATCTGCTAGTCTGAAATACTACTTCAGGCTACTGGTTAGGGAGATTTGTTCCTGAAAAATGGAACAGGAAAAATGGAAAGAACTATGCGAACTCTATTAAGTGGCCAATGAAGGAGGGATGGGCTTTTCACTTAGGAGCTGCCCACGAGGCATAGCACAAGGAAAGGCTAAGAAAAATGGAAATGTCATTTTTAAAAGAGAGAAAGAGTAGCTATAAATCCAGGGAGAAAAATAATGCTGAAACATGTAATGTCTTCCTGAAGAGACAGAATTTATAATTCTAACCCAAGGACTTCCATTAAGGAGTAACACTCTGTTTCTCTAGGTAGTTAGCGTTTTCTCTTTTTTTATTTTTTTTTAATTGAGAGAGAGAAAGAGAATGAGTAGGGGAGAGAGGCAGAGGGAGAGAGAGAAATAATCTTAAACAGTCTCCATGCTCAGCATGGAGCCCTACATGGGGATCAATCCCATGACCACGAGATCATGACCTGAGCAGAAAGCAAGAATGCGACTCTTAACTGACTGAGCCACCCAGGCGCCCTGAGTTTTACTGTTCTTATTATGAGAGGATCCACCTTCATCTCTGGCCTCCCTGCCATCCTTTATCCATGTTCAGATTGCACCTGAGGTCTTTCAACACATTCCATTTTTTTTTCTCTTGGCAAGAAGTTTCCCTTCCTTATCCACTTAAGAATCAATTATTCCTCCCCTGTTCTCTCACTCTCTCTCGAAAATAAACACTAAAAAAAAATTATTTTTAAGGGGCGCCCGGGTGGTTCAGTCAGTTAAGCGTCCAACTTTGGCTCAGGTCATGATCTCACAGTTCCCAAGTTCGAGTCCCGCATCAGGCTCTGTGCTGACAGCTCAGATCCTGGAGCCTGCTTTGGATTCTGTGTCTCCCTCTCTCTCCCTCTGCCTGTCCCTTGCTCTCCTCTCTCTCTTGAAAACATTTTAAAAAAAAGAATCAATTATTCCTTTTTACTTGATGTCTTTTTCTTTTGAAATGTGATAGCAGCTCTTAACTGTTTCCTTATTCTTAAGTAGAATTCTTTCAGTTTTTCCTTGATTAGTCTGCATTTATCATTTGAATTCAGACTCTGTGCAAACTCTTCCTTTTTTGGCAGAAGAAGCAGGGGTTGAAAATGTTATCAAGTAGAGAGTCAAGAACTATTTGCCAGTTGATTTATTTTAAACTTTTTTTAAGTTTATTTATTTTTGAGAGAGAGAGAGCACAAACAAGGGAGAGGCAGAAAGAGAAGGAGAGAGAATCCCAAGCAGGCTCCGCAATGTCAGCTCAGAGCAAGAGGAGGGGCTCAAAACCATGAACTATGAGATCATGACCTGAGCCTAAATCAGACACTTAACCAACTGAGCCACCAACGTGACCCTACCAATTGACTTAAGTCAAATTTCCTGTTAATGACCCTCTTTATTTGCAGCATATTAATCATCAGCAAAATCTAGGATATTAAAAGGATCTTAGAGGGTTTATTTTTTATGACAAAGCTGAAATACAGGTTTGGGATAAGAAGAAATGAGATTTGTGGTTTAATGCTGCATAAAAGTACAAAACATACTTAACATTTTAAATAAATAAAAACTAGGTTTCAAGACAAAAAAAAAAAAATCACTCACAAGATAAATCCAATGTGACTTTGTAAGGACCATAACACTGGTGAACGGGCCCCAAGAGGGAAAATAATCTCTTTTTCAGGTTCTATTATTTCTGGCAGGTTTTACTGGCTATTTTGACTATTGCCCTACTATTTATTTGCAAAAACTCAGGAAGGGTTGGTGTTGTTTCCATAAAATTGGGAGAATAAAGTAAAACACTAATTTTGGAAAGACGACCAATCAGAATAAAAATTCAATTGTATTACTGTAATAAAAGTTGATGCTCAACCTTTGTTAATTATATGCTACACACTGCTGTAAGAGATTTACATATGTTAAATTACTTAATCCTTTTAATAATCCCATGACACAAGTAATTTCATCATTCCCATTTTTTGTATAGGACAACTGAGGCCCAGAGGGGTAGGTCACTTGCTTAAGGTCACACAGCAGTAGTGAAGATGTCACTTGAACTCAGCCAATGCAGGCCCAGAGTCCATGCTCCTAAACACCACTGTCCCTGCCCACATTAAAACGCATACACTGATTAGAACCAGACCTGGGGACTGCTAAGAAACTTAACATGGAAAACAATTTCCAAATACATTACATGAGACGTAGGGCCTATTGTACAACTGTGACTAAATTCCCAATCCAGTTTCTTCTAATTTAGTTGAAACATTTGCACATTTTGAATTTTAGAAACTATGTGTTCAGCTGAAAAGCAATACTTACTTATGTTGAACTGAACTCGTGCCACAGGATTTTTGAGTTGTTGACAGGAGTGGAAATGTCATGGACTAAGCTAAAACATCTCTGCATCTGGCCTCTCAAGTCGTGTAAATATGAATAATTAAAGTAAGGAACAGTTGTGCTTGCAGAAGCAAGCTAATAGTTTAAGTTGCTCATCTGAAACAAAGGTCTTTGGAGCCCTTCACCTAGGCCCACATCCCAGGTATTCAAGCCCTTTTCTCAAAAATCCTTGTGCCTTCATGCTCCCCTGAAGACTTGCAGGAGTCCTGACCTACGACCTATTCCCTCCTCCCAAACCAACCTCTTCCCTCCCTCAAAACTCAAACACCCACTCACAGGCTAGAAGGAATCCACTTAGTCTGGGGAAATCTACATAAAAATGTGAATGCCCGGTGGCCCCTGAAATTTTCCAAAGGCTTTTGTATTTTAAACAGAGGATACTTTGATAGCTCAAAGAAATCCCTAATCAGTGGACTGATGAGGGTGAAACAAAGGAAGTCAATAGAGATAGATACAGCTGGAGAGGGGGAGGCAGTAATTTCAGAGGAAAGGATTAGTAAGAAATTGCTCCTTCCTAAAAAGAGGACAAAACGCCTTCTTTCCACTTCTGAACTAATAGCTCTAATATCAAGGTTAGATCAAATGTGGGAGTCTGCCCCCACAAACGTTCCTATGACTACTCAAGTGGAGAGAGAACCTGCCAATCACAAAGGTCTTTTGAAAGGGGGTGTTTGTAAATTGGGGATTGCCTGGATCTCCCATAGCACAACAAAGGCATTCCATCCCACACAAGTCAACTGGGAAGAGGGGTGAATCTTATTTGTTCAATGATTTCATAATTCATTAAATTAAAAAACTACCATCATTAAGCACTGTTAGACACTGGAATTTCAAAGGAGAATTTAGTTTTTATTAAATGTAAAGTGCTTGCGTAGAAAAATTATTCCAACAGGTTTATTGGATCCTCCCTATATTTGACATTAAGAATGCAAAATGAATTCGCTTTTCTTTAAGGAACTCGCAATCCAGTAACAGACATATATTTCTAACCTTTTTATAGAGTTATAATGCCATGGTAAGTCTAAGTACAGGCTACCACAGTTAATTTGACCTAGTTTTCCAATAGGGTTGTCCTATCTTTTGGAAACTCAGAGAATTCTAAACAGATGACTTTCTTTATCCTAGAAGAAGCATTTACCCACCTACCCACACAAGAATTTCACCTCAGTTTCAGTCTCAGGACTCAAATATCAGCTCCCAGAAATCTATTTCTGGTTAGCAGGAATACTAGATCTGTTTTTCACAGGTAACTCTATTTGATGGTTATCTACAAAACTTTCCAGAGAGCATCTAACAAAAATGCCCATTAAGTCTCAGTTCAATCTATAAGTAAAAACACTTCATCTGGTTTAGTTCCAGTTGTGCTGGTCTAATTAAAACCCTATTAATTCCCCAAGCCAGAAATTCTCTAAAGGAAATACAACTCAGAGTGTTGCTAGGGATTCTGTTTTTCACATGCAGGTCCCTGATGTGGGCTAGGAACCACCTCCAGGGGAAAGAGCCCTAAAAGGGTGGAAGAGTACGTGTGTGTTCCTGTTCTCCTGCCAGATTTTCTGAAGAAAATGGAAAGCAGACCGAGAAGGCACGCCAACTTGAAGACTGGTGGAAAACTGCCATTTCGCCTAAAGTAGTAGGTGGCAATAGTGTGAGATTATGACTAAGAAAATGAACACGAGGAACACATGGAACTTGGAAACACTGGATGTCAGAGGCTTTACCAGATAAGACAAAGGGTGCTCTGGAACTTTGCTGGAGAAACACATGTGAATAAAAACTGATGTCACTTCAAGACACCTAACAGATCACTAATAAAGATTCAGAAAGCATCAGAGGCATCTGATGTCTCCCCAAAAGAAGACAAACCTTAAGATACCCTAGGGGTGGCCAGAACCTCCCTGGGAGTCAGGAAAGCACCCTGGGCATTGACAGGTCAGACATAATGGGACTCTCATTTCCATATTATATATCTTACAGATCAAATAATTCTTATGTATAATATTTCAAATTGAATTTATATATATGTGTATGTATATATGTATACATATATGCATGTATGTATATATGTATGTGTGTATATGTATGTATATATGTATACATATATGTATATATGTATGTATATATGTATACATGTATGTATATATGTATGTATATGCATATACATATACATATAAGCCCTGTGTGGGGCTCTGCACCGACAGCACAAAGCCAGCTTGGGATTCTCTCTCTCTGCCCTTCCCCACTCATTCACCCCCCCAAAATAAATAAATAAACTTTAAAAGGAAGAACACTTAGATTAACTTACCTAAATGCCATTTAAAAATACTTTATAATAATAAATTGATTATAATATACTGAAGTCAAATTCCAAACCAAATAGATTTTCTTTAAATAAAATAATGAATGTGTACTTTTATTTGTTAAGTTATATTTGTTTCTTGATTTTAATGCTAGACCTGGAGTGTGTCATGAACTATCACATAAAAATGGACAGGAGAAACATGCATAAAAGATAGGAAGAATTAAATCAGATGAGCAGTTTAAAATCTAAAATTTTCAGTGATGGTGACTAAAACACTTAAGGAAATTCCATCGAAATGAACATCATAATTCATATTTATTGCTTGGTCACCTCAGGCAATAAATGATCAATACACAAAACACTCTTTTTGGCTAGGGAGTCATACCTGCTTCCAAGTTACACATCATTTTTATTTAAGTGATACTGTAAAATACTATTAAATGAATAAGATTCACATAGAGTAGACAAACCACTTAACGTCTCCGTATCAGGCTGGGTCTAAGTGATGCCACAGTAAGTATTAACTTACACTTTATCATTCATATTTAATAGCATAGAAACATGTTCAAAATATTTAGTTATATAAAAAGTAACTAGTTGAGAAATAGTATGCACATCATGGCTCCAATCACATAAAAATGTGTAATACACAAATAAATATGTAAATGTTTATATACACATACACACAATTAACATATATACATACACAAATCAATATATGCAACTGGAAGATGTGCATATATGAGTATCACTAATAGACCTACTCCCCCAAAGTGATTATCACATAATTAAGTAAAATTAATAAATCTCTATATGCCTGTTTTTTAGAATTAGACATCAAACATAATGTTGAAGTCAATATTAATATTTCTACTTCATTTTTCTATCTGAAAGTCATTTCTTTTTATTTTTTAAAAAAAGTTTTCTAATGTTTATTTTTGAGAGAGACACAGAGGGAAAACGTGTGAGTGGGGGAGGGGCAGAAAGAAAGAGAAAGAGAGAGAGAGAGAGAGAGAGAGAGAGAGAGAGAGAGAGAGAATCTGAAGCAAGCTCCAGGCTCTGAGCTGTCAGCACAGAGCCTGATGCGGGGCTTGAACTCACAAACCGTGAGATCTTGACCTGAGCTGAGGTTGGAGATTTAACCAACTGAGCCACTCAGGCACCCCCTATCTGGAAATCATTTTGACAAACTGAGAATTTCCAACACATCTCAACAAATGTCCTTTCTTCATTTTTTATTAGATTGTAAGGAGGTATGGTTCTTGGTATCTGGCAGCAGTCTTTGAGGGTGGTGGGAGGGAACCAGATACACCAGCAAACAAACTAATAAAGTTCCCTCACTTTACTGTGGGCCAGGGGAATCAGTTCTAGGTTCAAAGGCACTTACAGATTAGGATATGCTTTTTTAAAAAAATCACTAAAATTCAGGTTTTAAACTGTTCTAAGACACTAGGTAGAAATTTCAATAAAGGGTCAGCGGTGCCTAGGAATTTTACGCATTTGCTCAGCTCTTTTGTTTGTGGGTTTTAACAAGAAAAGCATATTAGGCAGTACTCACTTTGGGGCCTTGCAGTCCTGGCTTTCCAGGAGGACAAACACAGGGAGCTGGAGTAGAGCCTACATCACTGGGACCATTGAGGCACTGCAAAGACAGAAATGGAAATAAACAACAAATGTGGGAAGACACATACATATGCATGTGTACACAGGTATGTGTATGCACCTGCATGTCTGTGCGAAATGGTAAAGGTATCTCACACTGACTTTCCAATTTTATTCAGACCAATCCAATACGAAATTCTGAATCACAAAAAGCTATGAAAACGAAATACACTCCAATGACATAAAAAATGAGTTCTATTTGTCTAATATACTCACAGTTGATGGAAGCAAGCTAAACAGTCCCACAGTACAAATACTACCTTAAGGAGAATAATAGTTTCCAGGCCTACCTCACCATTCTGAAAGAAAAGGAAGAACAAATGGGTTTTAAAAGATGCTTTTAATTTTTTCTAAATTTTCTTCCTAATTTACAGATATTTCATTGTCCAGGTTCCAGATACATGAAGTATTGGAACCGGCAAGAGTTAAAACATTTGCTTGCAACTATCCTTAAAAAAAGTACCTATTTGTACATGTTATGACAACATTTGCAGTAGGATAAAGTAAGGAAATGAACAACAATGACGAGTGAAAGGAGTAAACGAAAATGCCAAAGCAGCTTGGTATAATGGCCACTCAGGAGCAAAAGTACCTCGGTGAGATTTATATGCCCCCTCGAACTTTCTGGAAGTCATTTAAGAACCAGAGGAAAAAGCCAAAACACATCTGAGAAAGTCACAAATTCCACGCATTAAATTTTATGCCTTTTACTTTAGGAGAACTTCTCACTCAACAATCTGTTTCTCAGTGAATAACACATGATTTTAAATAGGTTAATAACCTTTCCAAACAATAATAAATTCAATCAGAAGATAAGAAAGTGGGAATAAGATGCAAAAGGCAAACAAGCCTCATGAACTCACACCTCAGAGGAAGGGAAGAGACATAAAAACACAAAACAGTGGCTGTGAGGACTGAGAATCCACCATTTAATCCTGGGCTTTCATGATGTGGGAGGGTAATGGTAATGGCCATCACATCGATGAAGAAATATCAACAAATAAGTATATAAGATGGACTCTCAAATGCAATCACTTATTAGTACTTTTAGGAGAGATTAGAGATTCATATTCTAAGCTATAAATATCTAAAATAAAAGTTACGGTGTTTAAACAACTACCTATCTAAAAGACCAAGAATGAATTATTTCTAAAAGGTTCCATGTTGGATTTTATTATAGATCCTTCATAGCACTGCTCCACATCCTCAAGTTTTCAGAACATGTGGATTTGCAGATTCAGTTTGATAGGAAAAAAGGAGATTATGACAGTATGACTTTACAAACTAAAAGAACTATATAGCATGAGCTCAAATGTCACTGGAAACTTTTACAATATTCTGCCTTATTTGCATTACAAATATATATATGCGTGTGTGTATATATATATATATATATATATATATGTATACATATACACATATACACATATATATAGGTCCAAGGAGAGAGGGATTGATTACACACACACATACTAGGAGCAGACATATATAATCAGACTAATATTTTAGCTTATAATTATTTCCTCCTAACACATTAATGAATATAGCTACATAAATAGAAAGTGGCTTATAACCTAGAAACAAGAAAATCTTACTTAGGTGACAACAACAAAAAGAAACCTATATATTCCTTATGGTTTGAGAAAACGTGCTGATGAACAGGAAAATGAATCACTTCCTAGTCTTCAGAATTGTGCTGTGTGGGGTATTCTGTCCACACATTTAATGAAATAGAGAAATGTATTTATACTCTACATATTCAGACAAAGAATCCTATGTTTTTCTAGAGCAGGCCCAGCCCTGCTTCACTTGAGTACTGGAAATACCACACGCTGAGATGTGTAAAAAATACTTCCTTGTGCTCTTCCATTCCTATGTGTACAGAGATACATTATAATTTTATTTCAATTATGAAATATGTTTTAATCAATGTAACTTTATTTGCACTGACAATTAACAAACAAATTAACGCCGTATATTTAATTAAGGCTCACACATTATCTGTCATTTGTTTATTGCTCTGAAAGTACTGAAGCAGCACTCGGGGGAAAATAATCCATCCTACTCACAAATCCAGGAATCTCGCATGCCGTCTCTCTGTTGTTCTGTTCTGGGTCACAGTAGATTCGTAACTTCTGGACATCAAACTAGGAACAAAACCCACTCAAGTTAAAATTGAGGCACAAGCTAATAGCTTAATAAAAGCAACCCAAATACATTAGCTGTTATGTAAGGTTTAGCACTCAGCTAAAACATAAAAACACTAAATCTGAATACCCAGGATACAGTTTAAAGATGTGATGCAACATAATTCATAAAGAAAACTCTAGCACTAAAAACAAATCTCTGATGTCCTTCAGGAACCAGTGAAGCTTTTATTATTATCTCTGTATTAAGAGCTAGTCTAGAGAGCATTTCCTAGGACACTTAAAAGCTTTCCCAGGCTTTCTGTGTTTATCCTAGATCTCTGCAACATTTCTGATTACAATAGAGTCAGCTTAAGAAGTCATCTTTCGTTTCAGACACTTAGTTGATGGCATGGAGTGTTATGTGATGAGTAGGCCAAACACCTGTTTCTATTTAAACACTTACTACAATTTGACATGTAACATTAATACGGAGAGACCATGTGCATAATTTGGATGTGACAGTCTTCCCTTAATAGAAACACAGTGGGAAAAACACACCTTTTCAAACAAAGCATTTTTCAAGAAATGGCTATCTTTTTATACACACACTTCTCAAACCACAGATAGATACTCCAGCTTCAAAAATATTTCAAAAATATCAAAAGTTAGTTTTAAGAAGAAAGAACACCAAGATGCATTCATCTTATTGTATCCTCACAGCTGCAAACAAATTTTATAGCCCCTACTCACAGCTCCAATCTTACATTTTCTTTTCCAAATTCGTTATCTCCTGGGAAATATGAAATTAATGTTTCCTAAGAATGTAGAATTCTACCCTTAACCCAGGGGAACATTTTTCTAAGAATTCCTATAAAATCTATTAAGTCTAACTTTGCATTTTAATACACACTCAAAAACAAAATCCCACTAATAAACTGAATACATTTTAAGTGTCTTAAAGGAATTAATAATTAAGTCAAATGCAGTTAAATGTCATAAATACTACCACAAAGGACAGCAAGAGCTCCACTTTATACAGTGCAAAAAGCAAATCATTGTTCATCTACCTGAACGGTTTCTTCTTTCCCAGAATACTTTCCAATTTGAGTTTGCCCGCTGATGAAGATCCCTAAAACTGGATGTAAGGGCTTGTTTTCAATCTGTTGATCATCGATATACAGAGTTACATCTTGTTCTGTTACTAAGAGACGAATTTGATGCCAGCCTTCATCAAATAATGTCTATAGGAAGAAAGTATGGAACATTCATGAACAAAATGCTAACCATCTTTCATTTTCTTTGTTCCCATTCCTTCGCTGCCAACCATAAATCCATACCACACAGACGGTCTGTACCATATACTAATTCACCTTGACCCAAGCGGGACCTTAAAAGCTACTAATTAATTAATCCCCATTTTCCATTACATATTCATTACATATTAGTAGATGTATCAATTTCCTGAAGCAATTCCTTCCAGGTCACAAAAAAAGTTCCTTATGTCTGAATCCAAATGGCTTCTCCCATTCTTCATCCTATTTACTTCATTGCAACTTTGCACCCTTAACGAGTCCATCTTCCTTGATATCCTCATTCAACTTCCATGATTCAAACCATCTTGATCATCTTCGTTTCTTTTTCTCCCTTTGCTTATTCTGTTTCTTCAAAGGCTCCTCTTCCTCACCTGCCCTTTGATGAGGTCATTCTCCACAGGTTTGTCATTGACCTTTTTCATTCTCCCCTTTGATTATCTTACCCACTTCTACAGGACAATTATTACTTTGATGGAATAACTCCCATATCTACATCAACAGCCTGGACCTCATTCCTACATATGGGACCTACAATTCTAATACTGGCTAGTATAATTTTACCAGGATATTTCACAATCAGACTGAGAGAATGTGTAAGCAAAATGAACTTGAACTATCCCCAAAACTTTCTTCCTTTCAGTTTCCCTCAGATAATAATATCTTCAGTTTCTAAACTGCAACAAGTGTCTTTACCTCTTGCCCTCCCCTCAGTTCTAATAATAACCAGACGCAAAGTTCTACCAAATATGTCTTTTGACTCAAATTCACTTCTCCCTTTCCATTCTCATTACCATCATTTAGGTTCATGGATATCTTGCTTTATCTAAATAATTTTCAAACACATCTCTAATCCTGCTCTCTCTAGGCCATTCTTCATACCTCTACTACCATTAATCTCTCTCACTAGAATTTCATCAAGAGAAGATACCACATCTTATTAATTTCCGGATTCCCAGGACCTATGCCAATTCCAGGAAAGAAATGCAAGTATTCTTTGGGAAAGCAAAAGGAGGAGAGCGAGCTGCTTTGACTAGGGCACACCTATTAAAGACTTTTAGATGGAATCCTGTCATCCACTGAATGAAGTCTAAAACCCTGTGTATGGTTTCCAGGTCCCCATAAATTGAGTTCACACCTTGTTAGTTCTTTCTTTCATGTATCTTATACTCCAAATGCAGGGGTCACCACTTTCTACCCTTTAAATAAAAACCCTGCATTTTATTATACATGATTACTCAATACTGAATCACTGACTTACATATCCTTAGCTCTCTTCATCAAAATCCTATTCGTTCTTCAAAGTCCCATCCAAAAAGCAGCTCATTAATAAGTCTTGTCCACATTTTGTATTAGAATCTACCTTTCCCTCTACACTCCACTAATACTTAGTACTCCTATTAGATATCAGAGACCTTCAATCTTCCATTATATATAAGTTCCTTCGAGGTATGAAATAGGCCTTATTCATTTGTGATTTCTTACAGAACCTAGCAATTTGCCTTTAATAAAAATAAAGTTTTTAAAAATTTAATCTGCTTACCATATGAAATTGCACAGATGCATAATTTCATATACAAACTTGTACACTTCCTAAATTATACAATATAGTGTTAGACTACCATAATTATAATAATGACCAAAACATAACTGTTTTTATCACTACATCTGTATTCCGAACATATTTGACTTGGAAAATAAACTTTTATTTTTAGTTTATCAATTTTATTAAATACAGCTTCCTTCTGGGGAAACAAAATGTCCTCCCAATAATTGTTAATTCTTTACCCATTATCTACCTGTATTTGATGTTCTAACAAATGTCTTGATCTCAGCATTTTGTAGGACATGGTAATGTAAGAACAACCAACCAGACTTTGAAACCTTCAATTCCTGATGTCACCACTTACTAGCTGTGTTATTTTGAGGTGGGGTTTAATATCCCTGCATTTTTTTTTTTCTGTCTGTACAATGAGAGCAATACCTTCTTCCTTGGGTGGATATTATAATTACGCGTTCAGGGCATCTAGTAGTAGGCACTCAAAAAATGTGAATTAGCCCCACTCCTTAATCCCATTTAAGAAATAATTTGCCTTCAGGGCACCTGGGTGGCTCAGTAGGTTGAGAGTCCAACCTCGGCTCAAGTCATGATCTCACTCCTCATGAGTTCCAGTCCTGATGTCTCACAGCTCAGAGCCCTAGAGCCTGCTTTGGATTCTGTCTCCATCTCTCTGCCCCTTCCCTGCTCACACTCTGTCTCTCTCTCTCTCTCTCTCTCTCTCTCTCTCTCTCTCTCTCTCTCAAATATAAATAAATATTGAAAAATTTAAAAAAAAGAAACAAATTTCCTTCATCTGTTGCTTTTATTCAGTAAAGCAACATTAAATTATGAAGTCAGTATCTTTTCAGCCGTGTTAAAATTATGGCTCCCTTCCTCCAAACACATACAAACCTGCTAATACCACCATGAATACCACCATACTCATACCCAGGCATATTTACCTTAACTTGGGAGTCAGCAAAGGTGACCACCTGTGAGCCATTAATTATGCTGGTTGTTGTAAACAGTAATGTTTTATCCACACCATTTAAGGTAACTGCTATTTGTGGCCTTCCGTCAATGGTTAAAATTCTCCATAAATCCCACATTTTCTTGACCTTAAATCTCTGAGTGGAGACAAATACATATGATGGAGGAAGACCTTCTGGGAAAACATTGCTAGAAAAGGAAGAATATGCATAAGCTTAAAGAATTCTCAACATATCTACAGACATACCAAAAAAAAAAAAAAAAAAAAAAAAAAGTCAGATCAACACATAATGTCATAATGTTTACCTTGTGAATTCTGATAAGTCAACTTTAGATGTTACTTCATATCCTTTTATCTTTGTTGGTGAAAGAGGGATTCTTTTCTTAACCTTTTTCTTTACTCCCAAGCCTAAAAGAATATCAAACCCTTTCTCATCGCGAGCTGCCACTGGAATTCGTGTTGGACAAACAGATTCTACAAATCCAAAGCAAAAGCAGTAAACGTTAATTAGTCACAGATTACTTCGACAAAGAAAAAATGTCAAAGGAGAAATATTAGAGAAAATAATAAAATCTGCATATGCACACAAATGGATGTAAATGCATTGTCTGAAAAAATATGCAGGAGTGATTTTGGCATTTGAAGTGTCAAAAGTCTTTTTCCCCCTAAAAAGGGATAAAAGTAAAACAGAAATACAAAAGAAACACTTGCTAATGTACTGTTTTAAGAACAACACCATGTTGATGTTTTTACTTCACTATTTTGAACACGAAGCAACCTGATACCAGTGGGGTAGGAGAAGACTGGAATGGCATTCACGATTCTCATCCAGTATTTGGTGTTAATTTGTCACAGGACCTTGCAGAATTCTAAATTTCTTGGATCTAGGAGATGAACTCTAAGATTCCATTCTTGCATTCACAGCATTTGAGGGGTAAAAAAAAGTAGGTGTCGTTCTTGATATTCTTTCCAGTTTAAGCAGTTAATAATTCCACAGTTCAAAGCACATTGTTTCTATTACTCTGGAAAAAACTGTGGGTCTTTTCTGTTCATGAAAGTACTCAAAATGAGGCTATTATCTCACCTATTATTAACTATATTATTACATTAATCATATTTATAAAGACTATTTCCTTAAGAAAAATCATTAAGATTTCTATTATACAATTGTCTATATGTTATAAAAAATATGGCATGCTTTTTGCTGAGAAACCAGCACCTAAAATTACGTGGAAAATTTTACATGGTTGAATGCAATTAAGCTGTTCTGTAGATATGTTGCAGTATTTTCAGATTCTTCCAAAGTCCTCATATAACATACATATTGAGCATGACTGCTTACATTTTATAGAGCAGCTAACAAAATAAAACAAGAACTCCACTAAACATACTTTAAAACAATCATTCTTACACAACATTAAGAAGAGGGAAAAGTATCATATTTACAATACAATAAAAAGTAATGAGATGGATTTTATGAGCCTAACACATACAGTCATAACTTACACCATAGAATACTGGAAATAAAATAAAGGTTTGATAGAAATAAAATAAAAAGTATTCCTGGAAAAGGAGGGACATTTTTCTCTTTGGGTCTTAAGTTTTGAAGTGACCCAATGAATTACAACCTTCTTTCTCTGGCAAGCTTGGAGCTAACTTATGGGGAGATACAGGAATGAGGCAAACACGTTGATCCAGTGAGCTTCATGAGACTGCACACCATGATTAACCCCCACACCATCCCAGCAACGCAGAGCTCACTTACTCCCTCTCCCACCTCAGAAGCAGGGTCTGCCCATTAAGCTCATACATGGTCTAGAGAGGAAGCCAGAATACACTAGCTCCCCAGGCTCACTGACTCAAGGAGAAGAAAACCGAAGGCACACTGCCAACCATGACCAGTGACGTTTAACAAACTCACTAATCTGAAAACTCATTTTCTCATTCACCGGTAAGGAGCTAGAAAGGGATGAGAGAGGTCAGAAGAGTCAGTCTAGTTGAAGTTACTCCCAATGAAAACATGAACAGCAGGGAATGTGTTCCTAATAACCCTATATTCTAGAGTTTAAATCATAAATCAATCAAATTAAATAATTCCTGTCATGATGCAGGGGTTCTTTTTTGGCAGGCAGTGGGGGGAGGTATGCAGAACAATATATGAAGCCTCATTTCAGACGCATTTGATTTAAAACTACAAAAGAAACAAGGTCAGCTGGAAAGAAAATGTGTGAAACATTACATCATAAGAATATTTAGATCTGAATTACTCCTTTGATTTGCTTTACAAATGAGAAATTCTAAGATGTTAGATAAAGATCTCAGACTTCAAACAAGAACCTTAGCTTTAGACTTAAGCCTCTCTCTTAACCTCTCCTGAACCTCCGGATTATCATCTGTGAAGTGGGAACAATGATCTCCTTCACAGGGATTGTCTGAGGATCGAATGTGATGTATGTGAAAGTGCTTTGTGACTCCAAAATGGCCCATAAGTGCAGGGGATAAAGCAATTACTGTGTTCATTCTTTTGCTATAACAAAGTCCTTTGCACTGTATTGTAATCCCCACAATTTCATGGGGGAACAGTGTAGCATGGCTTGTGAAATCAAGAATGTACCATACAGCCATGTTTTCATTGCTACCTAGCACATCTTATTAGGAAAAATGTATTTAACCAACTATATTTTCTTGAAGGTAATTTTTCTTCCCAATTTGCTCACCTGTAAGGAGAACAGTAAGATATCTTAATACATGGGAACTGAAAAAAAAGGTAGTTGAGATGCTCCGATACCAGTATTATGTTTATATATACCTAGTTATAGGAAACTGGTAAAAGAAGCTTCCATACATAAAATGCTACGTTTTATAGATGGAGCAATTATTTTATGTATGGAACAACCAACAGTTCTGCACAAACTTCAGCGGAAACCTAGGGAAATAATTTCCCCCATTGTGTAGAAAAAAGGAATATATGCGTAAGTATATAAACCACATCTAGAGAGAAGTATGGAAACTGGAAATAAGAACTGAAACGTGGAACTTATTCTAAATACGAGGCAAGTCAAATGCTAAGAGAGACTCGGTTGGGAGCCTGTTATAACACCCACAATAAGTAATTAGAACAATCTAGACATACCAAGTTATTTTAAAGGAATGCATTCAGGAACAAGGGTAAACAAAACAGAAGACCTAACTTCACAAATGATTTCCTATACCAACTACACAGTTTCAATTTCATTTTACACTTATATGTTCAGAGTATTCAGAATAGGAATGCTTTCTGGGATGAGCAAAGATTACTCTATTTATTTTAATCACTAGGGTCCAGCAATGTCTGCTTTTCAGTTTGGATGGCTTATTTTTGCTTTTCTTTCTCTTGCCTTTGGGGATAATTATCTAGAAAAATGTTGCTAGAGCTGATATCAGAGATATCACTGACTATATTCTCTTCTGGCAATTTTGTGGCTTCAAGTCTTACATTTAGAACTTTAATCCACTTTACTTTAGAATGGGAGAAGATATTTGCAAATGATATATACAATAAAAGGGGTTAATATCCAAAATTTACACAGAACTTATAAAACTCAATACCAAAAAACAAACCAATTAAAAAACGGACAAAGGACATGAAAGGACATTTTTTTCTAAAGAAGACATACAAAGACATGAAAAGATCACTGATCATCAGGGAAAGACAAATCAAAAGCACAATGAGATATCAACTTACACCTGTCAGAATGGCTAAAATCAAAAAGACAAGAAATAACAAGTGTTGGTAAGGAACAGTGTAGAGGACAAGGTAAATTGGTACAGCCACTATGTCAAACAGTACGGAGGTGACTCAAAAAATTAAAAATCAAAATGCCATATGATCCAATAATTCTGCTACTGGGTAGTTACCCCCCCAAAAAACAAAAATATGAATTCAAAAAGATTAGATGCATCCCTATGATTGTTGTAGCATTGTTTACAATAGCCAAGATATCAAAGCAACCTAAATGTCTGCTGATAGATGAATGGATAAGGAAAATGTGACACACGCACACGCACACACACACACACACACACACGAATATTACAGAGCCATAAGAAAGGATGAGATCATGCCATTTGCAACAACACAGATGGACCTAAAGAGTAGTATGCTAAGGGAATTAGGTCAAAGAAAGACAAATGCCATATGATTTCACTTACATGTGGAATCTAAAAAAATTAAGTAAAATAAAATGAAGAAATAGACAAAAGACAGAATCAGACCTGTAATTACAGAGGACAAATCGATGATTGCCAGAGTAGAGGGAGGTAGGGAGATGGTCAATACAGGTAAAGGGGAGTGGGAGACATAGCTGATCATGTTTTAATAGTGTCATATAATGGCAGATGGTAGATACACTTGTGGTGAGCATAACATAATGTATAAACTTTTCCAACACTATGTTGTACACCTGGCCTTAAAATTATACTCAAATCAAAAAATTTTTAAATGATCCATAGAACACAGAAAAAAATATTTGCTTTTCTATTAAATCTCAGGGCTTAGTAATATAATACAGTCTTACCAAGGTCATAAAAACATGTTTTATTTAAAATTCTGCCACAGACAAGGACACAAAACCTATGTCTTGAGTCTAACTAGAACAAATTCCAGCTATACTTTTCCACCTATAAGTTAACATCATAGGAACACTAATGAATACATTATTCCAAAATATATCTGGCCTACTTTCTAAGTGCCTATTTAATCTAATTCCACATTGCCACATTATTTATATGTTGCCCCTCTCCAGAAGTCAAATATTTTATTCAGAACAAAGGAATTCTATCAAGATCTGTGGTCAGAAACCCAAAGTAATTTTGCTGATCCACACCTGATAGTCCAATAAAATAGAGTTGCCTTTGGGGCCTCTGGTGCAGATCTGTGCAAGCCAACTTCTTAAGACTTCCCGGATTGAACTTGGTTTTCATGATAAGGCAAACATGAGTATATGTCCAATTGATACACACCCCTCAATGGTATTCAGAGGCAATTTAATACATTTGCCTTTCTGAATGTCTATTATATCATGTACTTTAATATCATGCACAGGTTCATTAAAAGAAAGTACAGTCACCATTGTTTCAATTTAGTACCAAGGTACTAAATCACATATTAAAAATATAATAATAGAATATATTAATTATATTAATAATTAATAATTAATTAATATAACATAGTAATATAATAGCAAATAATAATATAACAAAATCACAAAATCAAAATAAATTATGGAAGCACAGAGCCTCTTACCAAAGATTAAATAAGAAAGAAGGTAGCCCCATCATCACACAATTTCTTTTCTCATTACAGACTGAATAATTTCATTCTCCTTCACCATCAAGTAATCCCACTGCCTTGAAATCTAGGTTAATTTAGAGTCAACAGTTCTCATCTAAGGAAGATGTCTGCCAGATGCATGGCTGACAGGCAATGGGACACA